TCTACTGCAGGCCACTTTACTGGCTGAAATAGTTTACAAAGTGTTTTCACTCTTGTTACACTCATTTTGATCCTCATAATAATAGCCTGTTGTGATGGATATTATTCTGATTTTGTTGAAGAGGAGGTTGGGACTGACTTATCCAAAGCTTGAGAAGCTTCTAAGTTGGGGATCAGGTATATTATTTACACTATATAATGAAGATGTTAAGCTCTTTGGACATTTTGTTCTAAATGTCAGCAAGAACCATTTTAGAGAAAGCAAATCCTCCAATAGTAAGTAAAAATTGTCATCATTTCCACCAAGCTATCACTAAAATACTTTTCATCCCTTGTGTTGGATAGTAGACTTACTTTTTTTTTTTTTAAAGATTTTATTTTTTCCTTTTTCTCCCCAAAGCCCCCGGGTACATAGTTGTATATTCTTCATTGTGGGTCCTTCTAGTTGTGGCATGTGGGACGCTGCCTCAGCGTGGTTTGATGAGCAGTGCCGCATCCGCGCCCAGGATTTGAACCAACGAAACACTGGGCCGCCTGCAGCGGAGCGCGCGAACTTAACCACTCAGCCACGGGGCCAGCCCCTAGTAGACTTAATTTTAAGCCTGAGTAAGATTATGCTCTTATGTTGCCCCCCCAAATAAAAATAAAGATTTGATTTTTTTTTTTTTTTAAAGATTGGCATCTGAGCTAACAACTGTTGCCAATCTTTTCTTTTTTTCTGTTTTTTTTCCTCCCCAAATCCCCCCAGTACATAGTTGCATATTCTAGTTGTGGGTCCTTCTAGTTGTGGCATGTGGGACGCTGCCTCAACATGGCCTGATGAGCAGTGCCATGTCCACACACAGGATCCGAACCAGCAAAACTCTGGGCTGCCGCAGCGGAGCATACAAACTTAACCACTCAGCCACAGGGCCGGCCCCCAAGATTTAGAATTTTTAAAAGTAGATATGAGAAGAATTTTATACTTTGTACCAGGAGAAATTATGATAGAATTTGTTATATCTTGGCCCGAAGAAGGTCTTTCCAAATATGATACAAAATGCAGAAGCCATAAAAGAGAAGTTTGATTAATATAACTACATAAAAGTAACCACTATAGACAAACTCAAGGCAAATGATAAACTAGGAAAAGAATTGCTATTCATACCACATAAGGCTAATTTTTCTTATATAGAGAAAGCTTTAACAAATCAAGAAGAAAAAGTCAATAGGAGTAAAGGAAATGAATATATGTTTCTTATCAAAGGAAATGCAAATTACTCAAACATGTGAAAAGCACTCAATTTCATAAGTATATAAGATACAAAATTTCACCTATTAGATTGGCAAAGTTAAAAAGTTTCAACACTGATTGTTGTGTTGGAAAAGGTATGAAGAAATACATTAGTGGTGGGACTATAAATCCATCCAGGCTTCAGGAAGGAAGGGTGATTTGGTATTGTCTGTCAGAATTACAAAAGCATGTATTGTTTGACCCAGCAATTCTGATTCTAGCAATTTAATCTATGGATATACTTGCAGACATCCAAAATTATATATATATATACAAGATCTTTTCTGGTGCTGGCTCTGTGGCCGAGTGGTTAAGTTCGCGCGCTCTGCTGCTGTGGCCAGGGTTCGGATCCTGGGTGCGGACATGGCACCACTCGTCAGGCCACGTTAAGGCGGCGTCCCACATCCCACAACTAGAAGGAGCTGCAACTAAGATATACAACTATGTACAGGGCGGGGGTTGGGAAGATAAAGCAGAAAAAAAAAAAAAGATTGGCAACAGTTGTTGGAGATTTAAATTCACCTTGACATCTGTATTTTGGTTTGTCTTCTTTATTCTTAGTTTGTCTTCTCTTTTTTTTTCCTTAACCGGTTTTACTAGAGATTAGTTTATTGGTCATTGCATAGTTCCATGTAAAAAAATAAAATCAACCAGGGTTGTTAGTTTTAATCAGCAGAAATCTACTCTGGCAAGTTTAAGCAGAAAAGGAATTTATTGAGAAAGAATGTTGGGTAACACAGACTAATCAGCCAGGTAGCTAGAAAATTTGGCTTGGAAAATGACAGCTAGGATCTAGGAGCAAAGTCTGCATAATATGAATTCTTTGAAATTTTTTTAAACTTCTTTGTGACATAGTGGTTTTTTTTTTTTTTTTAAGATTTTGTTTTTTCCTTTTTCTCTCCAAAGCCCCCCGGTACATAGTTGTATATTCTTCGTTGTGGGTCCTTCTAGTTGTGGCATGTGGGACGCTGCCTCAGTGTGGTTCGATGAGCAGTGCCATGTCTGCGCCCAGGATTCAAACCAACGAAACTCTAGGCTGCCTGCAGCAGAGCGCACGAACTCAACCACTTGGCCACGGGGCCAGCCCCTGACGTAGTGTGTTTTTAATTGTTCCTTGTTTGCTTTAAGGAATATATATCGTGTTCATTGGGTATATACATATATATGATCAAGTTTGTTAATTTTATTGTTCAATGTTTCTGTATTTTTACTACCTTTTGGTCTGCCTGATCTATCTGTTTTTAATTGTGGTGTGTTAAAGTTTCTTACCATTATTTTGGATTTATTAATTTCTCTTTATAATCTTATTAGTTTTTTCTGTGATGTACATTCATACAAGTTCGTGATTATTATATCTTGATTGGTTGCCTTTTAATCATTATGTAATTTCCCTCTTTATTCTTATTAATGTTTTTCTCTTGATTTTGCCATGTACTAGTTCTCTGGCTTTGGGCAAATCATTAACCTCTCATTTTCCTTATTGTAAAATTGGTATAATACCTACTTTATAAAGTTTCCGTGAAGATTCACTGAGAAAATATGTACGAAGTATCTTACATCTAATAGGTTCTCTATAAATGGATTGAAAGTACGTTTTTGTCTTAAGGGTTTTGCTTTTCCCTCCCTTCTTCCCTCATTCTTTTGAAGCATCTAATTTTAAATACTACTTGCCTATAATTGGAAATGTGCTTAAGGGATACAATTAAAATAGTCATCAGGGCTTTTTTTTTTTTAAAGTGGGTGAAGGTGATGGAATGTTTGCCTCCCAAACACAGGGTCCAACAATTCTCTGTACTTGATAGACCTTTCAGTTACTGTTTTCTGCATCTGCATTAGGTTCATGTTTCTATCTCAGTAGCTTCCACATTTCTCAGATGTACTAAATAAGAGTCTTTCTAAAATAGTTGAGACAACTGAAAAAGGACAAAAGTCAAGTTTTTGAAGAGCCTACTTTTCTGCATCAAATATTTATCAACCTGAATGGAGAGTTATTAGTAAGTCTTAAATACTGTGTTTAAATCACTAAATATACATAGGGGTATACAGAAATGTCATGTATATTTAAGAAGGCAGAAATGTGTACTTCCCTCCCCCTTTTTTTGCTGGGGAAAATTGGCCCTGAGCTAATATCTGTTGCCAATCTTCATGTTTTTGCCTGAGGGAGATTCACCCTGAACTAGCATCTGTGCCCCTCTTCCTCTACTTTATATGTGGGTCACTACCACAGCATGGTCAATGAGCGGTGTAGGTCCATGCCTAGGAACTGAATCCTGAGCTGCTGAAATGAGCACACTGAACTTAACCACTAAGCCACATGGCTGGCCCCTGTTCTTTTTCCTTTTTGATAGCATTTAGCACCTATCTTTTATTCCTGTTCTTAACTTGGATTTTTATCATCTGTTTATATAATCAACGTGTATTGTATGCCTCCTGTGGGCCTGGATATCTCAGATTTAAAAATATAGACAGAGGGGCTGGCCTGGTGATGTAGCAGTTAAGTTTGTGTGCTCTGCTTTGGTGACCCGGAGTTCACTGGTTTGGATCCCAGCCACAGACCTGTGCACCGCTTGTCAAGCCATGCTGTGGCAGGTGTCCCACATATAAAGTAGAGAAAGATGGGCACAGATGTTAGCTCAGGGCCAGTCTTCCTCAGCAAAAAGAGGAGAATTGGGAGCAGATGTTAGCTCAGGGCTAATCTTCCTCAGAAGAAAGAAAAGAAAAACTATAAAAATATAGAGAGAAGGGGAGAAAACAGAATTTTAGCTGAGAAAACAGTATAAAAGTTTAAAAAATATATGGCATATATATATTATACTATATATATATATATAGTAACTAGATAGTCAAGGGTTGAGAGATAACAGTGCTTTAGAAAGATTAAGTTGTGATCTGTCTCTGGAGAACCTTGAATGACATGTTGAAGAGTTTTGACTTTATTCTATAGGCTGATCAAAACCACTCAAGGCTTTGAGGATAAAAGATCAGGTTATATACTGAAAATACTCACAGGTTGTATATAGGAAAATATTCTGATGGCAAGGTTGAAAAAGAAATAGAAAAATACAGTATTATGGATAAAACTTCAGCTCATTTAAAGTGTTGCTTTGTAACACTGAACTAAAAGCTTAAAATATAGTTTTTCCTTGAGGCCTTTTAACATGTTACTTTATCAGTGAGGCCCTTCCAGACCACTCTATATAAAATAATCTTTTTCTTCCGTCCTACATTTATTTTTCTCCATGGTGCTTAGTACCATGAGTTGTATTATATACACACGCTTGTTTGTGTATTGTCTGTTTCCCTCCACAAGGTTATAAGCTCCATGAGAGTAATGACTGTATTTGTTCAGTTCTCCTCCCCAGTGGTTAGAATTGTGCCTGATTTATATCCCTTTTTTTTTCACTGAGGAAGATTAGTCCTGAGCTAACATCTGTCCCAGTCTTCCTCTAGTTTATATGTGAGTTGCTGCCACAGCATGGCTGACAAGTGGTGTAGGTCTGCGCCTGGGATCCGAACCTGTGAACTCAGGCTGCTGAAGCAGAGCATGCAGCCATGGGTCTGGCCCCATATATCCTTTAATAAATATTTGTTAAATGAATTTTGAATATTCACATTAAGATGACCACATTTTTTTATGTGGTTTATAATGTGGGGGCAGCAGTCAGACAAGGTCTTGATTCCTTCCTAGAAAGTCTGTTGAAAGGTGTTTTCTTTTCCCTTTCTTCCAGAGTTTATATTCAGAGCACCAATCAAATTAAGCAAGCCTGGGGAACTTCGTGAGGAATATGAAAGCCTGAGAAAGGTATAGTATACATATTGTTGTGCCATTCATTTTCTTAAAGTAAACTGAGATAATGACATTAAAGAATACTTAGTGGGAGTTTTTATTTACTAGCAGTTTTAAAAAATTTGCAATGCAGAGGGGCCGGCCTGGTGGTGCAGCGGGTAAGTGTGCACATTCTGCTTTGGTGGCTCGGGGTTCACCAGTTCAGATCCCAGGTGTGGACCTATGCACCGCTTGTCAAGCCGTGCTGTGGCAGGCATCCCACATATAAAGTAGAGGAAGTTGGGCACTGATGTTAGCTCAGGGCCAGTCTTCCTCAGTAAAAAAGAAGAGGATTGGTGGCAGATGTTATCTTAGGGCTAATCTTCCTCAAAAAAATAGATAAATAAATAAAATTTGCAATGCAGAGCCGTTCTCCACACTACCTTATACAGGCCCAGTTAGATTCTATAGCTATAATGGAGGTAGAGTAAACCTTAATTAAGAAGCCCTTTTTAGCTGTCCTTTCAAAGATGAAAATGTAGCTCACCAGGCCTTTCACACACCTGCTGCAATAACTGGCCACCAAGAAGGATATTCTTGGCACTGAAATGTTAGTGAAAAGCTAACATTTAAGCTTTAATAATAATAGCTTGTATTATTTTTCCTTATCTTGCAAAGTTTCTCTAATTACATGTAGCTCGTGTTATCTTTTACTGTATCTTAGGCCAGTAAGCAGGTAGTGGAATAATTTCCTACAGAACGTTTACCACTGGGAACGCTTTTAGCTGTGTCCACATCATCTTATTTTTGATATTTTCAAGCTGATTGTCTGGGAATTACTTAGAGAAGTAAGACTTGAAGATCTGTGTCATCCTTCCCTAGCTTTCTTTCTGTACCACCATCCCTTACCCACCTTTATAAATGATTAGATAATCTTCTACATGTGGATATTTAATATTTTGTAAAGGTAAGTAATCCACTTTATCTGAATCAGACATCATCATAAAACAGAGGCAAGACAATAATGTTATTGTAGCCTTTTATACGGAATATAAAAATTGATATTTAACAAGGTTATGTTAAAAAGAAAAGATAGTAGAAAACTGTGCTTAATTGCTATACATTCTTTGACCTTCTCTTTGAAATGAGGGTGTCAAATGTTGACTTGGGTCCTCATGTGTCTTTTAGATTGATACTGTGAGGGTTTTTTTTGTTTTTTCTTCTTTAAATCACTTACAGAGCATTTTTCTATATAGGAAGAAATTATTCTGAGGGGCCACATCAAAAGAATGACAGATTCCTCTTAAATAAAGTTCCAGAATATGCAGATATTTAGTTCTAATACACCTTTTCAGAAACTTGGAGAAATGGAACTTTTAAAGCTATCAGCTTGAAGATAAAGAGAAAACAACGAGTTGGAGGTAGAAAAAGGAGGTAAAGCAGAAAAGTATAGTAAGAGTAGAGGTTTTTAAAGCCTTGGGAGAGAGAAAGAAACCTGGGGGAACTGTACTTTTGTTCCTGTTAGGAGGGAGGGACAGGAAAATGACTTTAAAAGAGACTGATGGCATAATGTTGAGTGAAGCTAGGACACTCTCATCCTGTATAATACACTGGATTGGGTTTGAAAAACACTCACTTATGTCATTTAGGTTAAACAAGAGTTAGCTGTAGATCCCTTCCCCCGCACTCCCCTCCCTGCAAGTAACCAAGTTATCCTGTATCCATTGTACAACCGGGAAAATGGAAATCCAAGTTGTAAAATAAAAAAAGCACTAATGTGGCATATCCATAAAATGGAATACTATTCATCAATAAAAAGGAATGAATCACTCATACGTGCTATCACATGGATGAACTTCAAAAAAGATGCTAAGTAAAAGAAGCCAGATACAAGAGACCACACATTGTATGATTTCATTTCTAGAAAATGTCCAGAATAGGCAAACATTTAGAGACAGACAGTGGATTAATGGTTGATTGGAACAGGCAGTAAGAATGGGGCTTAACAGTAAATGGAGATGAGAGATTTTATTGTAGTGATGAAGATTCCTAAAACTGATTTATGGTGTGTTCTACAACTCAGTAATTTTACTAAAAATCATTGACTTATACTCTCGAAGTGGATGAATTATATAATATATAAAATATGCGTCAATAAAGGTGTAAAAAAATTAAAAGGCACTAGACATTTAGATGGAGAACTTGATTGAGAAAAAGATGTCTCCTAGAATGCATATTTTCTGAAACAAAACAAAGTAAATATATAATTATCTGGATGAATCTCTAGGGGAGGAAGATCTTTAAAAGCTTCTACTGAGCAAGGGATGGTAAGTGGAAATTAATTCTACAAAACTCATCATTGCTAATTTGATGTGTAACATACTACTAGTATACTTTTTATTTGGTATACTTTATTATTTTGTTTAAGAGACAGTAAAGGAGCTATAAAAAGTTAACAGAAAATTTTATTCCTCTAATTCTAGTTCTTTTAAAAGATGTTTACTTAGGGGGCTGGCCCAGTGGCACAGCGGTTAAGTTCACAGTTCACATCTTCCTCTTCAGTGGCCCGGGGTTCGCCAGTTCAGATTCCAGGTGCGGACATGGCACCGTTTGGCCAGCCATGCTGTGGTAGGCGTCCCACATATAAAGTAGAGGAAGGTGGGCATGGATGTTAGCTCAGGGCCAGTCTTCCTCAGCAAAAAGAGGAGGATTGGCAGCAGATGTTAGCTCAGGGCTAATCTTCCTCAAAAAAAAAAAGATGTTTACTTAATAATCATAGATCCTCCTACCTGTGGGCTAGTAGTATACTTACTGAGGTTACTGTGAGTTTCTAAATTTTATGATTCTATGAATAGGTTTATATTTCTAAGTATGTTTAAAATTTTCTTTCTGCAATGTGTTACAGTTAATTTTCTCTTTTTTAAAGAAGAAAAGTAATGTAGAATGTTATGATTCTGTAAATAGGTTTATATTTCTAAGTATGTTTAAAATTTTCTTCCTGACGTGTTTTGTAGTTAGTTTTGTCTTTTTTAAATAAGAAAAATAATGTGATGTGGAAATTTCTGTTTTCCGTATTTTCCACTGTCTTCCCCAGAAGTAACTAGTGTCAACAGTTTAGTGTATATCCTAGATCCTTTATATACTTACACACACATTCATACACTTTAGTCTTTTTCAATGTAAATGAGATCATGATGTGTATTCATTTATTAATCAGATATTTATTGTGTCCCTACCGTGTGCCAGGTACTACGAATATGGTGTTGAAGAAGACACCCAAAGTCCTTGCCCTCAGGGAGAGTCCATTCTTGTGGGGAAGACAGACAGTAAATAAACAAACATATTTAATATAAATAAAGCAAGATAAGCAGAATTATAGGGGATTGGAAAGGAAACTTGAAGAGACACAAAAAGACTGTTGTAGATAGAATGATCAGGGAAGGTCTTTCAGAAAAGGCAGCATTTGAGTTGTGAATATGAGGGAGCAAACCAAGTAAAAGTATGAGGAAAGAGCATTCCAGACAAAGGGAGCAGCAATTGCAAAGCCCTTGAGACAATCAAGTCTGGTTTGTTCAAGGAACAGTGTGGCTGGAGCTGAGTGTGCAAGTGGTGGGTGGAAGGGAGGTATGGGAATTTGGTAGGAGATGCGCTGGGAGAGAGAGCAGAGCCAGATCACAGAAGGCCTAGCTGACCTGGTGAGGAGCCAATTATATGCTCTGACTTATTCCTTTAAAAGGTCACTGCTTGCTGTGTGGGGAATAAACTGTAATGGACCTAGGAGTTAGGAACTGTATTTACTGTGAATAGTAGAGACCTAAAAATAGTGACTCAAATTAGGAGTTTTATTTTTTTCGAGTAACAACAACAACAACAAAAACGGAGATAAGCAGTCCAGGGCTGATAGGGCAGCTCCATGACACCAGGGATTCAGGCTCCTTTGTCTTTCTGTTTAGACATCTTCAAGTATGCCTATCTCCTTGTGCAGGATGGCTGATCCTTGTCTAGAATCACAGACGGAAGGCAGAAGGACACATGTCAGCTGAATTGGATCCTTTTAAAGAGCTTTCTCCAAAGCCCCACCCAGTGACCTCACCTTATAATTTATAGTCCAGTATCACAGACTCCCTCTAGCTGGCAGGGAAGCTGGGAAGCATAATGTTTTAGCTGGGTACATTAACTTCCTAAGTAAAATCAGGGTTCTTTTAGTAAGGAAGGAGAAAATGGATATTGGGTAGGCAGCTAGAAGTCTTTCCCTCATGGGACAAGAATGGAAGTAATACCAATTAGGACATTTTTGGAGTAAGCTATGTGTTGGGTTTATCTAGGATTAGGGTTTTGCCAGAAGTATGACAGAGGGAGAGATGCAGTGGACTTTAAGGTGTATACAAGGGTGGTGTTACAGTGTTGGATGATGGTTATTTAAGGAGGTGATTTAAGGAAGGAATTGAGGACATGAGGGATATAATGGACAATGAAAGAATGGTGGGGTCAGTGGACTGGAAGTGTTGATGGTGATAAAGAATTGTGAAAGCATGGTCCCTAGCATACAAGTAAAGCCTAGGAAGAGGTGGTCTAAATGTGAGAGGCTTAGAAGTGAGACTAGGAGGACGTGGTTTAGTTATTGGACACGACAAGGTTCAGGTTATGACCATGGGAGTAGATAACTGAAATAGGATGGAAGAAAAGATTTATTTAGGAGGAAGTGAAGGAACTGAGAGAGTATACTGATATTGAAAGCTTCAGGAATGATCACTGGAATAGTTGGAGAGAAACTTAGGTGTTAAGTTTTTCTGTGAATGAGGGGAATGACAGAGAGGTAGTAGGTGACTACCACAAAGAGAGGTTGTGGCCGTTACAGTCTGATGGTAAATATTTCTAAGAAGCTGGGATTTTTGAAGAATAGTATGATCTATTGTCTAACTTGCTTTTTTCCCCACTAACAATCAGATTTTTGGGGGGAGAGTCTTTCATGTAGGTACTTTTTCATCCTGAATATATTTCATAGTATGGATGAGGCATAATTCACTTAACCATTC